CTTTCCCCCGTAAAAATCCTAGATCAAATGCCGTTCCCTTTTTTTTTTTTTTTTTTTTAATTAAAATAAATCTGTGTTAATTGCTGACTTCAGTGAGTTGTTGATTCTTGCAGCAGACTGCGTATACGTGTGTGTGGGGACACCCCATTTGATGTTTGAAAGGCTATTTTGTGAGGAGCCCCTGCCGGAGAGGAAGCTGGCCCGGCCTGCGGCAGGAGCAGCACCTTGCTCCAGGAGCGCCGGCTGGGCAGAGGCAGCCCCGGTGCTGCCCCTGGATCACGCGTGTGGAGAGCTCTAGCGTTAAAAACCGCAAGTGTTTCCCGAATTTAGACAGCAGCACAACGAGGGGGTTGAGGACTGCAGTTTTGGGCTTTCAGCTTCTGAAATCCTTGCAAATTGTAGCTGTTTGGCTCTGAGCCCTTGGTACGCGCAGCATTGGCGCGCTTGGGCTCTTCCAGCGGGACGCTCGCCACTCGAAAGCTTCAGCAATACTTTGGCAGCGTAGCTCGGCGTACCTTTCGGTGCTTTGGAGTTTTAAACGGATTCAGTTAAATCTCTACTGTTATTGAAATGAACTTGGTTCATTGCTTTCAGTTCAGCCGTTTTCAATTCCAAATGTAAAATTAAATAATTGAAACAAATCTGTCCAGAGTTTTAGAACATAGTAACTTCCCCCCTCCAAGATTTGCTGATCTGTTTTATAACGATTTGGGAAAGGCCTCTGGAGGAGCTTGTTGTTGCTGTTCCATAAAGGTCACTGTGAGAACCGTGTTACATCTGTAAAACTAGTATGCGTACTAAATTGGGAAAGTATTTGAACAGCTGCGTCCTTAGAAGCTGCAGACTGTCACTGAGGAAGAACAGCGTTGACGAGAACAGTCTTCTGCTGTGCTCTTCTCTTGTGGACGTTTAACGATAATAGCTTTAATAATGTCACTGTGTCAAACGGTGACAATTCTGCATCTTAGAGTTATGAGACAAATTTTTTTATCATTTCATTATTTTCTCATTTCCCTTCCTTTGCTTCCTGAAGACTTCATTCTCATGTGCGTTTTCCTCTGTAGGAGACTATTGGAAAACAAGGTATACAAAATTGATGGAAAAGAAATCTGAAGCTTAATTGTGAATTAATTTGACTTTATTTCTTATTTTTCCGTTTTCAACTGTAATTGAAACGGTGCTCTTCATCTTAAACATGCGCTGCTGGTTATAGAGAGGCCAAGGCCATGGTCTGACGTATGAATATAAATAGCCTTTTTAATGACATAGTGACATAATTTTCTGAGTAAGTAGGTAAGAGCTTGTATAACGTTCTGTAGTTTGCAATAGTGTTTTCTGGAGTTCCGGGGATTTTAGTTAGCGTGTACTTCACTGAAAAATAAGTGTAATTTTCTTACCTTTAATTCCTCTCTGCAATTATAATAGCAGCTAGATCGGTCTGTTTTACGTACAGCATAATCTTCCTGCAAACTAATTAGTAAATAGGATAATCAAATACTCTGCCAAATGGTCTCCCTGCAAAAGAAACACATTTAACACTATCCTGCTTGGGAAAGAATGCCGTTGTCCTTTGGGTTTTTTTTTGTTTTTGTGTTTTTCTGTTTTTTTTTTATTTTTTGCATTCTAGCAACTCGTAGGACATGTATGCATTGAGCATTTTCTTTTCAGTCGAAATAAATCTAAGTGCATGCATGCACTGTAGAAAAAATTAAGCAATTTTTGTTTTTTAATCTTTATTATTAAAGCAGCCTCTTAGTTAAAATTGCACTAACATTTTCACTTAAAACAGGATTAAGATCTTACTGTTTCATGCTTTATTGACATTTAGTAGGAAAATCACTGTTTCGTCATGCTACATCTTCAGAAGTGTTACGTATTATCCAGTGGTATTTATTTTGGTAAAATATTTGCTCTTTCAGGAGAAGCAACGTAAATGGTTCTTCTGCAAAAGTTTTCAGTGAGAGCCCTTATGTGCGCATAGAATCCTTGCAGGAGATCTCGTACGCTGACTCCTCAGCAAACTTCAGGTAAGCACAAAACTAGCTATAACTGCGTTACCAAGCAGGCCAAGTAGTCTCAGTATACTAGTTCCATATGTTTCGAATATCCCCAGTGAGCCCCTGTGACTCCTCATTTCCTTTCCTTCCGCACAGGCTCATCTCTACCCTTTAAGGCAGCTCAGAGCCTTGGATCCCAACCCATGCAAGTCTTCTCCAGACTGCGCTTTATTCCCTTCTCTCAGCCCTGAATCAGGGCTTGAACCTGAACCCTTGAATCAGAGTTGTCTCTTGCTTTGCTGGCTAACTCTTCTGAATGGAGGCACTTCTTATAGGCCTTGTTTCAAATAATGTAGGTAATCTCACTGAATTTATTCACCACTTAGGAATTTGGTTAATAGCTTTTTGAATCTGCGGTAAAGATAGTCACTTCATGACACGCTGCTTCAGCTTCCCTTTTTCCCCTGTTGCGTTTTTGGTCAAGAGGTAAGGTTGTGCAGGAGGATTTCTAATCTGAGAACCTTCTTCAAATCCTCGTTATCCAGCAGCTCCAGGTCGTGTCGGACATGGATGCACCCTGAGTGGAAAGGCGCATGTTCTCTCTGTTGGCACGACAGGGCTGCAAGTCTGCCTTCTCAGGGCTTCCGCCCTGCCGGTTGGAGCAGTGGCGTTAATGGGTGCATTGATGGCTGCAGCCTGGTTAAACTGACCATCCCCTGGAAATACTAATTATAGCTGCCTTTCTGGCAAACTAGTTGAGATTCGCTGAGGTAGAGCTGTTCTCCAAAGAGAGGTAGCAAAGCTTCCTGAGCTATGATACATGCCTCCCTTCGTATCAGTAATTGCTAGCTATGCTTCCACCTGTGTTTTCTCCTCTGCTTCTATCATTTATGGCCGTTGTTGCTTCTAAGAGCTGGGAGAAGATGGGATAATGAGTTAAAAGTAGAGAATTTCAGGTAAATTTGGCTGACAAGGGAGCGGTGCATTAATGGATGCATACTCCGTGTTTCTTAAAAGAAACACTGTCAGTAGCCAGAAAGGAGCTAGGCTCATGCAGGGAGCAGTGGGGCTGTTGCAGCAGGGAGCCACTTGCACCAATCCTCTGCCTGGCTGCAGCCTTCAGAGAGGGGCAAGGCTGTGAGGGGAAGCGAGCAGCACGGGCAGATCCTGCCTCAGCGTTTGTGAATCGTTGCGCTCGGAGTGGTCCACCGCTGCGGAAATACAGACTAGACCTGAAAGCTAAGGGTTGGAAATGCCTTGTGCCTCCAAGATTGTATTTAGAAATGTAATATAATAATAATATGTGCTTAGGAGATGTTTTGGGGAAGCAAGGAATAAATGTTAGTTGCAGCGATGATGGGCAAAGAAGTTTTGAGAAGAGGCAATGAAAGAGAAATACAGCAGTAAATAATAAAGCTTGTTTTTATATTGATGGCTACAAAAGAATTGGTAGTCTGTTCCTTCCCCAGAACGTTCTCAAAAGTTTAAAATATGTATAATTCAGGGCCCTCTTAATTCGTTCTGGAATTGTTCATCTCTTTCTTTTTTTTTGTTTTTGGTGGTGGAGGGTGTACTGTAAAGATTTTTTTACTTCAAACAAGAAAAACAAAAAACTTCCTGGAATAGAAGAAAAAGGAGGAGGAGGAGGAGAACTAAGAGAAACACCAGATGTGAAAGGACTCAAAATGTCTGGCAAGAAGGGTAGATAAACAGAATTTATCGTGCAAGTATAAACTCCTTATTAAGATAAAAATATCAGAAAAGGCACTAAGCAATTATAATTTTGTAAGTAGAGCTATTTTTGAGCATCTTTTGTTACTAACGCAAGTAAAATCAACTTGTGTTTAAATACAGTAGACAAAAAGTGCAAGTAATCGCAAATGTATTAAACTTTCCTTGAGATAACTTACATCACTGTGTAATAATGAAGGAAACATTGCAAGTGCCGTCTCTTTTTCCTTTTCTTCAAAACCTGGTATTTTGCTTTATAAATGAAGAAAGTCTAGGCATAAAAGGAAAAGGCCTTATGTGCTTTCTGTGTTTATGCTGCGTGTGAAATGAAGATGCGTTTCTCTAGAAACGTTTGAAGAAATTACGGCTTAAACAAAACTAGAGTATGTTCTACGGGAATTTTCATCAACAGTGCACTTGATTTTCAGCAAAGTGAGAACTGAGAAAGAATTAGCAAGCGAGTGTACGGATGGCCATGCAAAGTGGATCTGCTCAATCTAATGTGATGTTTCAGGTGTCATGTACACAAATGTAAAGGACTGCAGAATTAAAGGTATTGAAGGATCTTTTACACTCCTTCTGTAAGGATAGTTTGATAGAGTGACAGCTCTAATCCATTTTAGTTTAATTCATTTCCAAAAAAAAAAAAAAAAAAAAGCAATTCATACAGCCTAATTGTGGAAAAAGGGTTGAAACATACAATTAGGTAATAGATTGCCACCACTTACCTCACTAATGAAATCACAGGACACCAGGGTTTCGGGACTTCCTGATTTTCTTGCATGACCATCTTTGTGATGTTGGGGACAACCAGGGAGCTCCCCACTGAGCGTCACTGCGCAGGCGTGGCATATGGTGGTGGTGAGCGTCTTGTTAGCACATGCGCTGTCAACGTTTTACCTTTTAATTTGGTTATTTCTTCATTTTAACAAAAGCTGCTGTGCAGGATTCCCTGGGATTTTTATAGAGTGTTAAATGTAAATGTCAGTGCCTACTTTGTATTTATCCCATAAGTGTATTTGGCAAAAGCTGTGATTTCCTGATAAAGGTAGCTTACATAAAGCATATTTGGGGGAGTTCAGTGATGTAAACTAATTGCCTTTTTTTTTTATATGCACGCTACCATTGCGCAGGGAGTATTCTACAGTGAAATTTTGTCATGGTCTCTCAGCAAGCAGTGGCAGAGCAGAGAGCTGGTTCATGATTGGCCAAATCACCGTACCTTTTTGCAGAATTATCCTGAGTCTTGAGGAGTGAAATACTTCGTAGTTGATGTTCCTCCCTGCTAATGTGAGGCAGCCTTGGAGCTTGAGAGGCTCCAGACTGCAATTGTCCGGGGATTCATAGGAAGGAATTCTTCTGTTTTCTTTGCTCATTTCTGGTAATGGAGGCTTCAGGAAAGACTCTCCTTTCCATGAGGAAAAAATGCAAACACATTTTGAATACCTTCTACTTCATGCCTTTTTGCTCCTTTTCTGAAGAGATCTGAAGAGAAACTCAGTTCCCTGCAGTAAAGTTGTTTTGGACTGTTATTATCATCTTGTCAAATGGTCCATAGTAGAAAAATGTGTTTTGTAGTGACTTCCTGGCGTATTTTGACCATGCACGTATGTGATGTGATCTTGACTGAGTAGTATCTTCTGTTGCTCGTAGTGGCGTAGACAGCATTGGCCTTGGTTGCTCTGGGACAATAAAACTGTGGCTTTGCTTTAAAATAACGTCAAGATTTTGCTCAAATGATTTTGCTGTTGATGGGCTGTTCTGCTGTTTTATGCTGGACGGGAACTGTTTGAATGTAAAAATTCTGGTAATTCTTAGTGAATTTTTAGTTGGCTAGTTATCACTGTGTGCATTCATGTACACTGATGTTTCATTTTATTTTTAAGTCTCAGAAATGTATGTAAATTTTTGACTTATCCCTGTTTCAGCTTTGTGCATTTTATAAAGTAAAGATGAAGCTCTGATAGGGTGGAATAGACTTTGATTTAGGAGATATTTAGGTTCTAAAACAAATGTATAATGTAGCTGTTTCTTAAAATATGTAATGTAAGCTTTTATTTGGCTTACAACTAACTCGCTGTGAGGCTGTCTTCAATACAGCACTGCTTTGCCAGCTGAGCTGACAGGGGACATAAAAATGAATAATTATTAATGAATAATTAATACAGATAAATGCACACACAATTATCTGTAATCTGTTCTTTGAACATATATCCTGCTTATAACTGAAAACAACCACCCACCTTCCCTAGAGTGCGGTGATCAGTTATTTATGGTGCTAGTAGACAAGGGCATATAGTGCCTTAAGTTATAGTTGCACTGATAGTGGGTGGCTGCGATGCATTATTTATCACTCCCCTGTGACTGCCCCTATGACAGGGAGGAAATTCAAAGGGATCGCCTAATATTTCGTGCATAAATATTCATATTCCAGCAAACCTGTCGGTAAAAAGAAATTAAGCTGCGATCTTCAGTGCTAAATTGTAGGGGGGGAGATGGGTGCCACAGAATGTCATAGATTATCCTTGTCCAGTTCCTTCAGTAATTAAGCTGTCTAACCTAGCCATGTCGTTAACATTATGTCAGTATCTAGTGTGGCCGAGAAAATAAAATTTCTCAACCAAAGTATTTGTTGCATGTAATAGTGTCTGTGAATTTTTAACACTTCTTTTTTTCCTTGTGGCTTACATTTGTACTAAAACACTACTGTTTTCGGTGTCAAATAGCATGCTGCAATTGGCCCTTCTTAACATAAGAAAGCATACCGTTGAAAAGAAATAATCTTCATGATCTCAGTTAGTAACTGCATATCAAAACTGTGTCTTGTTGCTGATGGTCTGATGGCTGCGGTGGTGACATGGAAGCCTATGCATGAATTGTGTGTACAGGCTTATCCAGTCAGAATGGTTTATATGATAACTTTTCAAAGATTTCTAGTTGTTTGTTTTAACTAGTGTTTTTTTTTTTTTTAGTTCACCTGATTAACATTGTGATAAAAACACTTGGACTACCTTCTACCTCTTCTTTGTACTCATGTTCAATTCAAAACTTCTTCTAAAATTTATGTACTTCTCACATTAGTGTTGCAAATGATGACATACGTTAGGAATACGGCATACTTTTTCTCCTTAGGAATGGTCTGAAATGACGGAGTGCTAAGCAATGTTCTACTTCGTATTCAGAGTGCGAACTAAAGCAAGCTCATTTAACTGTATGTTTGTACCAAGTAAGAGTCATTTTAACTGTATGTTTGTACCAAGTAAGAGTCATTTTAAATTCATCAGGATGAAAGTTGATGTATAAGCTTGACAAATGAAATTAATTTGATGTATCTGCTTGTGGATATTTGTGTTATATGCACATACCTACCTTCCTTTTTGTTGTATATGAGAGCTTTTTGTTGAGTGGGAGGGGACACTCAGTTGCATGTGTTTTTATGTATCTGGACTTTTCAGACAAAACCTTATGATTGAAGTCTATGGCTTGCAAAGAATCTCAGCAAGGAGGACCACCATGTAGTGTTAATCTCTTCAGATTTAAGGGCCTTTTCCATCTGTATTTGTGCAAGTATGATGGTTCACAGAGGAATGACATCAGTTATGCTTGAAGTCAACGCTTCATGCAATGGTGATCAAGGCTTATTAGTTTGTATTTACAGAGATATACTTAAATATTTAGTCTGTTTGCTTACTTCCTGGTTCTCTGCTATTGTTTTTATAGATGTGTCAAGTGGAATTATCAAAATAATAGGCAAAGGTGTTTTCTACAATAAATGAAATTGTAAATTCAGATTTTCCTAATATAGCATTAAGGTCTTCTGTTTTTCTTGTATGAGTTGTCAAATACCACACATACTCTGTATTTCAGTAGCAGTACTGATGAATCCCAAAAGGACTTCACAAATCCATGCTGTAGCTTTTTCTCTGTTTCAACTGGTGTAAACTCATCTTTCTTTTAAGTAAGTAAAGAATCTCTGTATCAAAATTTATTGTATCTGTTGGAAGAAAGCTTGAATACTTGGATACTAACAGAAGTAGTTTGAGAGGTGGAACTTTCTCTCAATGTTGATTGAAGTTACTTAAATTGTTCTGAACTTAAATTAGCATAGCTCAGGCCATAACTTGAACTGGTACAGGCTGTCGCAAAATCACAGCCTTTCAAGACTCTGTGACACTGTTTTATTAGATATTTGTGTCTAAAAATTGAATTCAATGTTTCAAATTTATAAATGGAAGCAGCTTTAAGTTTGTGCAAGACTTATAGCTGTGGGGAAGGGAAGTTAAATATCTCACTCCCACTGATCTGAGGGAGTCCTGTGGACAGTTTACACAATTCTGTTATAAAACAGAATCTTGTTTTTCATCCAGGAAAAAAGTCAGTCTTTTCCTTACAAACAGATGGAATTAGTTCAGGAAGGCTGGAAGCAATGAGCAGCTCAGTTCCACCTCTGCAATAACAGACTAAGAACAGGCATCCATCTCCTTAGACTTTTCCTGTAAAACAAATCTGTTAAATTTGGTATATAAACTTAAGAAACTAATAACTGGTATATATCCTTATCCAGAGAAGCCCAAAATCTTCTGTGTCTGTCATAGCTGAGGATATTGAGAGTGAGAACCATTTAGGCTTATATGCAGGTCACTGAATTAACAATGCAAAACAAATACTGGGTGAAGGTTATTAAACTTTTGAAACAGCCATCTTTGAGACTGCCCCTGAGGCAGGTGCGGTTTTTCGAAGGTACAGTATCACAGGTGAATGTCTATTCAGTTATGGACTTGCAACTGATATGAGCAGCCAGATCTTTTGTAAGTGATACTTTCCAGTGTTTTGGGGTACTTTGTGTTGCTTAAAAATCAGAACCATCTCTCGGTTCAGTCCCCTTCTCTATGAGTTCAGTAAACTGTTTCTGATTTCTTTTTGGTGACAAAACAAAAAAGATGCTCCTTCTATTGTTCGCGACTATGATGCTGATTCTGCTTATGGACAGTGATGGGAGGAGGCCATAAAATCAGCTCTTCTTGACCATTGCTTGAGTTGAAAAATTAGGGCAGAGGTAGTCAGTTATGGCAAGCAATTCTGATGTTCTCTTTGACAAGTACAAGGTTATGGTTATCCAAAGTTCCTGCCAAACTGGACATAGTTTTTTCCAGTCTGCCTACTTTGTTTCACATCCCAATTTTCCTAGGCCAAGGAAAAGCACGTACTGGGTATGATTAAAACAATTTCCTTTTATGTTAACAGGATTTTGTCAGTAAAAGCTCATCAAACCTATGGTGTTTGTGAAAGTGCTAAAAGGACAATCAGTATCCTTATTGTAAGTGTCTACATAGGTGTTAGATTGTCCGTGCCACTAAATATAATATAATATAGTGGGGAAGAGAAGAACCTGCTAGATGATCAAGTTTCATTTGAGTTGAGCCAGGTCGCCTCTGCAATGTCAGCAAATTCTGATATATTTAGACTTCACATGGGAAGTCCTTCAGTCATTATTGAAGTAGAATTTCTCTTTATCTGCTCTAGTGCCTGTAAAAGACTGTCCACACAGATTATACTCTCCTGAAGAAAAAACGTTTATTTTCCAGTAACTGATTTTTTGGAAGTGTTTCACTTCAGATTCAGCCACTCACCTTTCACCTGTGTCTTGACAGCCAAATTTTATTGGTGAAATGATTGAGAGGTGATTGAGGCTACCTTGCCCTCCGTGTCCTTAGTTTCTACAGAAACCAGCTCTTCTAGGATGTTGTTTCCAACATGTTGCTTTTTTTAAAGGAATCTAATTGTGCCTCGATTTCATGAAAATCCTAAGTGGAATCTTTATGAATCTTCATGAACATCCTGAAGAACTGCAATTACTACTAGGTAAGTAACCATTTGTTTATATATCCATGCTTTTATTTAATCATGCTGGTCTAATTTACTTCGTATAAACTATTTCTAGCAGTTTTGATCTTTTTGTGTGTGTAAGCAAAACCCTTTGGACTTGTTTGCCTGTCGCTGACTTAGCGTAGCACATCTATTATTCTCCGAGTGATTTGTAGACCTTGTACTTCATAATGACATAAACGTCAAGTATGGTATACCAGCAATTTAGTCATTAGGGGTCTGACACTTAATTTTACCCTTTCTGATATCTCCACATGACATTTAAAAAAAAAAAATATGTATTCTGATTTCACTGTTCAGGATTTAGGTTAGGAAGGGATTTAACAGATACATAATAGGGTTTTTGTGACAGGAGTATTTCCAGCTGACAGTAGACTGTGGATGAAATGATCAGTTGCTTTATAGTATAAAATCATTGTAAGACAAGATAATCGCTGCTTAATTCATGTGAAATGACAACCTTAGACACTAAATACAAAACCCTAAGTTTAAATAATGTTAACATACAGAATATTTAGTTAAGATTTTGGTTGTATTATACATTGTTGTAGTCTCTATGTTGAGCTATGAAAGCATCATAAATATCTGCTGTACATCATGATGGTTTTATATAAAAAAACTGGCTACAGGTGAGGACAGTTTAAAAAAAAAAAAAAAAAAAAAAAGGAGGATTGTATACTAGTCTCCCCAGCACACTATGTTCTCATAGGTAGGTCTTGCTTCTCAGCTTCATCATAATCATCTCAGAGGCTTTTTGAATTGGAGCAAATGCTGCTCAATCTCCCCTGTTCCTTAGGATTTCTTGTCATCTGCTGCCGGCTCCTCACTGCTACCCTCCAGACTTCTCACTCCAGGCTGTGGTGTGAGGGGGAATACAGCTCCCTCAGCAGTATTTGCTGTCCAAGGAGCTGCTCTGTGTCTCAAGGAATAGATGGCTTCAGATTCTCTACCGTTGAACAACATGATGCTTAAACAGTGCAGTGGAATAGAACTGATACATTTCTTTTTGTAGTCCTCAGTTCCTTAAACTCTTTTTTTCCATGATGAGGGAATGATATCCTTTTTTTTCCCTTCCAGATTTGGTGGTTGTGTAAGATAGTGCTCCTCTGTCTCTGTATCTTATATTATTTTTTCTCGTGTATTGTTGTTCTCATGTTTTTCTTAGTTTGTCTTGTCTAAGATTCATAGTTCTCTGATGGATAGATTCCCCCAGAATAATTACGAAGTGGTATGGTTTTTCAGAAAAGATAAAACTTCATAAAATATACTTGTCTAGAAATCAAATTAGAATCACTTCTCTAGAGAAATAAGATTTTATTTGTATAAAAATAATATATATACATATTTATGCAAACATATGCGCGTGTGTGTATGTACACGCATATCTGTGTAGACACACAGCATGCTCCAGGAAAAGTCTAGCACTGTTGGTGAGTCACCTTTATGTTGTGTAACCACAGCTTTGGTTATTAATGCTCTATATCCAAGGGGCAAAGTAACTAAAAATCTAATTCCTTGGTTATAGGGGAAATTAGAACAAGTGTTCATGGAAACAAAGCATTACAGAAATATCTGATGCTGTTTTCATAATAAGGAATGTCAACATTAGAGTTCTGTGGTCGTATCAATCTTAAATCTTGGAAAAGTCATTCATCCAGAAGTGACATGAGTGTGCTGACATAGTGAAGGGAAGGTGAAAATTATTTTCTGTTTTTTGTTGATGATAGCAAAGTTTATTACTCGGAAAGAAGGCCCAAATTCATTCAGCATCTCTGCACTCCAGCAGAATTTACCTATTTCTTCATATTAAAACAGTTTAAGTAATTGCTGACGGCACCTAAGCCCACGTAATTTTCTAAGAGGCATGGTTTACGCCACTGAAGGAATAACAGAGCTATTACCATGTATGTGTTGATCAAGTTGGCATGAGACATCACTGTCAAAATGTTTGCTTTTTCAGTGGCGCTTTGGTGGATGCTTCCTCCGCCTCTTTTTAGTAAAGGAATTCAGTGCTTCCATTCCACATCTACTTGAGACTGCATGGACAGTGCTATTATCTGCATCTGAGACGAGCACAGAATTTCTTAACTTTCTATGGGTATGCTGTAAGTTTACTAATAGTGAAACGCAGTACAGGATCCAAATCCTTGTTATTTTCTCCTTTCTCTCACCCCTTCCGAAATGATGACAACAGTTTCGCCTCCATTTTTAGTTGGTCGTTGTAATCTCTGCTGCCTAGCCAGTAGCCTTTTCTCCCAAGCTTTCATGTTGAGCACCTTCTTTCTTTGCTTTTCCTCCCCAGTTCTTTCTCTTCGTGAACTATTTTCCCCTCTTCTCTGCTCTCTGTGTGTCTTCAAAGAATGTGTTGCTACTTGAGCACTGGAAACCATTTTCTTCTTCTAGACTCCGCGTGCTGTCCTGAGTGTTAAAATGGTGTTGAGATATGGTGAGTGGGGAGTTCCTGGTTATATATGTTCAGTCTAGCTCAAAAATAACTGGCAGAAAGACTGAGGGAAAGCTTACGTTAGTAGCTGCAACCCTGCTGTGGTTGATGTGAGTGTCTGAGCAACATTGTGGACCTGGAATATTTAAACATTTTGAGGCTTGAGGGAAGAGGGACTTTCTAATTTTCATTTAATTTTTGATTTCTGTTTCCAGAGTCTTTGAGACATACTTCCCAGTTTTTGTTTCCTGCAGCTATGAGAGCTGGAAATCCTCCCTTTCTGCCCTCCCCCATCTTTTGGGGTTTGACCTAAATTAATCAATTCATCATGTTAAGTGCATGAGCAAAACTTTTACGAGACTTGGGATAAAATTGTAGCATGGTACTTGTCATACATGACACTAAGCCTTGGTTTGTGAGCATCCCCGAGAAAACACACTGAGAGCCTGGGAATTTTTTTTAAGGCTTCCATGCCGGTCCTCCATGTAATCAACATTTGGTATGCTCACTGTACGCTCACTGCTTAAAAATACTTAAATAGGCTGTTGGGTGGAAGAGAGTTTTCTCAGAAATCTGACGCCATTAACGTATTCTACTGAACATCTTTTTTTCTGTAGAAATGGGTCCTTGAAAAAGTTATGACTGCTTGATATAAGTCACTGTGTTAGTGCTCCTCCTGAAAACGGCTTAGGCTCACCTCGCAGTCTTTTTGTCGTGCCGTGGAGCAGACTAGGCAAAGCCACGTGTTCTGGCTGGGAGCACCGGTTTTGGGACCGTGTTATATGGCTTTACTGCTCTGCTCAGGGAGAAGCCAGTTCCTGTTAACGCTGTCGTTTAACTCTGCAGGTTGTTATTAGGGCAGGTGCGTTTGATTCTTTCTATAAAAGCACGTGGTTTTTGAGTTAAAAGCACGTGGTTTTTGAGTACTGTATGTTAAGTCTATGTTAGACCTACCCCAAAACTTCAGAAACTAGTCAATATTTTAAATGTCATATTTGTTGCAGTTGATTTTTATTTGCGAATGTTTGGTTTAATATCCTCAAATTTTTGATATGCATTCTTTAGCATTTTTAAGGTTATTGCAATCATTTTACTCCAGTTTGTTTAGACTGCAAGCTTAGGGCAAAGACTGGATTTGGTCTCCGCCTGTGTGGCGGTTAAAATAACGAGGTAACTGATCATTGCCTGGAACTCTAGGCTTTACTTAAGTATGGATAGCATCTTGTGTTATTTAAAAACAAGTAATTCCCTGAGCAGCAGAAATAGTAAAATCTGCTTTCATACGGGTATATCTCTCAGTTGGATCCTTGCATGTCTAATATAGTGTAATTCCAGATATGCTTTTTTCTGTGAGTGAGGCATAAATAACATCTGTTCCTTGGTGTGGATTCTCTGGCATCTAATAAAGCATGAGTGTATGCTGGAGCCTTATTGTTTATTGTGAGAACTTAAATCATTTTTCTCCTCTACCCACTGCCTGTTTTCATCAAGCTAGTGGTGTTTTCGAGGTCTTCTCACTCTTCAAGTTTGGTTGAAAACGACTCAAAAGTTATTGTGCGGGTGCCTGATGAGAAGTCCCAAGAGGGCAGAAATGTGACTGCATAAGCCGTTTTTCTTTTGGAGATCGAGCTAAAGATGTATCCAGTCCAACCAATCATTCTATTTTCCTCTTAGAGTGTTAAGATATTGTAGTTGCTTATGGTCAGTTATACTAGGATGCTGTTGTTGCTGAAAGAGCAATTTGTTTAGACTTGGATGATGGTTTCCCCTTTTAAACATTTGTTTGTTTATAGCTTTGCTTTCTGAAATTCCTTAAGTGATCTCTTAACCATATTTAACTGAACCACAGATTTCTCCATGGAGCAGCAACACTTACGTAACTCAGAGCCATGTGAACACTTGCAACAAGAGGGCATGCAGTTTCGTACAATCCCAGTGTAACATTTACCTGCTGACAGTTTTGGGAGCCTTCTTAAATTAACTCTTTGCAAAGAAGTAACCAACCATTTGATCTTTAAAATGACTACAGGCAAAATGTTCTGAAGATAACTTGTGAGTCTTGTTCAAAAAGTATGTGACTTGTCATGCTTTTCTGTGAGTTTAGATATTCAATTTCAAAGTAAATGAAGTGGGAAGAAAAAAGAAAGGTAATTTACCCCACATACCATGCAACGTGGTAGCAAGATGCAAGTTGTCTGTATGTCCTAACATAGGAAAAACCACAATATATCGGTATGGATTATTATAATAAACTCTCCAAAATTTGACAGTCTCCATAGGATGCATCGAGCTAATTTTGTAGGTGTTGTTACTTGGCTCCCTTACAGTGACCCCGAGCATACAGGGAAAAGCTGTGATTCTCAACACAGAATAGTAAAGAAGCAGCAGCAGGCAGGTGTTCCTTAAATGCAATGTGGGAACAGATATTGCAGCAAGCAGGGTGCTGTTCACTGTGCAAAGATGTGCATGCGCCAAACGTGCTGGTTACTACCCGGAGGCAAGTGCTGAGCTATGGGGGCTGCCTTTGGTAGTAAAAGCCCACTGCTTGAATAGTGAGAAGTGACAGATAAAAAGGTTTCCAGTAGGAGTGTGAACTACCGTAGTGTGAGCTAGAGGCCCAAGCATGCCTCCAGTTATTAGACGCGAGTTTAGCCCAGTAGTCTATTATCCATAATATGCCCTTGCAGAGTCTTGAATTTGGTAATACTCAGTGCGCAGATAATACATCTGTCATGTGTCATCTATGGAATTAGGCCTCTGGTGACAATTGTATCAGATAGATATCTATTTTGCCCACTGTAATTGTATATGATCTCATAAACCATCTATTAATATTAACACAGCACAACAGCAGAAATCCTGAAGGTTTTGCTAATATATTGAATGCAGACAGTACTTGTTCCCTGGTGTTAAACCATTTGTCTCTTATCTGCCCTCCTCTTATCTTGGAAGTTGACTTTTTGTGTTTAAACATGTTTCAGCCTGAAATATTTAAACTTGGGTGGCTGCTTCGTTGGTGTTTCTTGACGATAGTGTGAGAATGTCAACAGTTGGAATTTGCCAGTATTCTCAGCACCCAGAGGACAAGTTACTGAATTACCTAGTCCCTCTGTTTGTTTCCCTCCGTGTTCTGTTAGAGGTAAAACTCTTTCTAAAAATACTTCTTAATTAAGAGATGATTGTATCATTTGAATCTGTGAATATTTTAAAGGCTTGACGGGAAGACCCGAGTCAAGAAGTCACAGCAGAAGAGGTGCTTGCAGCTCTGCTGGTGATTCCCCAGAGAGCCCCCTCAGCAAGGGGCTGAAAGGGCTGCCGAGGCCCTGGTGGAAGCTACTCACTTTTCTAGGCTAAAGGCAACGCAACAGGTGAGAGAATCTGTTGGGTTGGTGCCTTTCTTTAATGACTGCGTTTTGGTTTTATCCTTGTCAGCGAGTTATAGGTACTTCTGTGCAGACTTTGCTCTACTGGCTGTTTTGTAAGGAGGGAGATGTTACTCATCTGTTCTTTGTATGGAAAGAGAAGACAAATACGGTGTGGTTGTTAGAAAGCTGAAAGACGTCAGGGAAGGCTTCTAGGAAAGGATCAGACTGAGCTGACACTGGGTTTTTGTGTGTGTGTGTGTTTTTTCTTTTGAGCAGAACTTATATGTACACAAACTATATGACACAGTTTTTGTATTGTCTTCAGTATGGTATAAATTTTTTATGCTGTTCAATTTTTTATGAACTTCCCTCATTTTCAGACAAGTATTTCAGCGCTAGTTTTCAAAGGCCTATTTCTAATTTTAAAGAGAAGGCACTCTGTTATAAACGCCAATTTTGCACCAATCATTTGCAGAGATAACTTCTTCTCTCTTAAATGTCTTATGCAAAGCACAATTGTTATTTAGATTTTTTGTAGCTATATGGGCACTGTTAGATATGCATGGAGTCTGCATAGCTCATTGTGTTAAATCCAATGCTTAGAGAATAAATTGACCGAAATTTGAAATTCTTAAAAATGGGATCTAGATCTTTATAACAAAAATAAACATATTTCAAAATGTTATTACAATTTTGATAACATTAGTAATCCAGAATTTATCATTGCTTACAGCTAGCAATTTTTTTCAGAGTTAACACCATCGGAACTTTTTTGGTCTGCTAAGGCATTTTAACGTCACGCATGAGTGCTGGAATGAATGAGACTATCGGTTATTTACACAGTCAATCACAGCAGAGACCGCTGGGTTAGTCAGATTTCATAGCAGCTCTGTGATTTATTTTAAGAGTGCTTTCAGCAATTTAACCTGCGACTGGTGCATTTTGTTATGGGATTCAGTACTGGAATAATAGTCACTGTAATTTTGATTCCGAGTGATTTGAACAACATTTAAATAGTAAAAGGTATTAACAATTTGGTTAAAATTTTTTTATTTAAAATAGAATTCAGAGAGCCTAAGTGTCCCGGACATCCTTTTATTGGTAGTTTACAAATGTTGTAAATATATTTTTAGTGGATTTATGTGCATGACTTTTGGAAATATAATTGTGCCTTCTGACAAATGGATTTTACTGCTCGTTATTTTCAGTTCTACTTATTGTAAAGAAGCAAATTATACATAGGAGTCTAGACTAAGAAATTCATATAACACTGTTTATAAGGATCATTTAATTCAAAAATACGTAATTGTGGTTATAGTCTATCAGAAACGTCTTGAGAAACTTGATCTGTAAGGCTGCTTGTATTTGTCAATTTGCTTTGCTTATCTTATAATTACTGTTGTGTAAGGATCCTATTAAAAGCATTACAACTTTTATGCAGATGGAGGCGATATGAAAGAAAAAGATGTCTCTCTGAAGCTTGTGAACAATGTTTGAACTCCACAGACTTTAAAAAAAAAAAAAAATTGGTGAACTATAAGACACGGTTTAAAAACCGAACAGTTTATAATGAAACTCAGACTCAGATTGAAGGGCCTTAGCTGAGGTTACTGAGGCACCATGAAATACAGTAAATTGCATAGTGTGTTGTGATGGAGAAAGGGAGGTATAAACGTCTTGTTTTTTTGAGCTCTAGTAGCTCTTATTGTGAGTGGTCATGTCTAAGTTTTAGCAATCAAGTCATGCTCAGAGAGACAAAGTGCTATAAAATGTCTGTATATATTAACCGTAACAGTATCATGAACTCTTTTATGTAAATGTTGGTAGATTAATATTAATCTTACTGAAAGTAGTGATCTGTGGGCTCTTGAAAAGCTTTTGAAAAGCTCTGCAAATAGTAAATAAGGAAAGTAAACATATTGCAAATAGGCTTATGTTTGCTAATCAGAAGTAGCTTGATTCTACAGAATCTAAAAAGAATGAAAATCAGTAATTAAGTCATTTGGATGGATTGATTCCTTGATCATCTGAATGACTTTCAGTTCCATCAGTTCTGAGAAATTAAGAAGGGAAATAATAGTGTCAAACTGTTTGGATTCAGTAGCTCTACTTAATTTTTTAAAATACTGTTTTCATCCCGTGTCCAGTAATCCGTCTATGTGGTATTTTTATATACACCATGAATGGCTTACTTCACTGACTAGCATGGTGTTGAGTTCCCCCCTGTTCTCTCAACCTTATTTCACACGGAACTATCCAACTTTTGAAGTACCTTGTGTTGGTACAATTCTGTATTTTGTGTGTGTGTGTGTGTTGCCTGAGGTTCCCATGGAAGAAAATGTGTTGGTAGCAACTTGAGCAGGAGAGGTTACTGGAAAATGTAAATTTTTAAAGATCACTCTAAATTGTGACATGACAGTAGTAAATGACAGAATGCTCTCTCTTGGACAAATGCTTTCTGTTTGTCGCTCTTGGGTGCTTAGTTGTTGTCTCAAACTACTGGTAGTTAGTTTATAATTTGCTAAGTAAATATTTGAGGATAGTGTTTTTTTTTTTTTTTTTTTTTTTTGCAGAATCTATAGTCACCAACTACGTAACGACAGGAACAATGACTGCTCGTTTAGTCTGCAGAAAAAGTTTTACTTTCTTTGTGTGTTAATCTCATGTTGCCATGGAGCCTTGCTTTGAAAGGTAGTCACAAAGGTGCTTGAATAAGTAGTGTAAACACAGAAGCAGTTCCTTGAAGTATTTCCACAAAATGGAAGGATTAAAAACCTGAAATTCAGGAGGTACTAAAGTTAAAATATTGTTTCATGACACTTACATTTTTAACTTTGGAGAAAACGGTCTTTTTTCCGAAGGCTAGCAATAACTAATTCTGGTTTTTGGACCAATATTAGGAGTTTTTTAAATTAAATGGTCCATTAAAAGCGATGGGTCTGGTACAGACAACTGTATTGACCTGAGGTTCAGTTCAAGAAAATTCTGAGAAATTTAAGTAAGCACTATTTCTGAGTAAGTGCTTCCTGGAATTAATTTTCCCAATTTGTAACTCAAAACATTTTTGTAAATTGTCTCAAATTCATTATTCTTAGATTGCTGTAACATGTGCTTTGCTGTAATTTCTTGCAAGAGTGTTTTTCCTGTGAGAAATTTTGTCCTCCTTCCTTTCCAATCTGATAATTATTTTCAGATGTCAGAATAAACGTGACTGATTAAGCATATCCTCAGTTTTTTTCCCTCTTCAAACTAGAGACATGTTGCTGCTGATGAATCAGGACGTATTCTGAAAGCTAGGCTAACACTATTTATGAAACATGGCCAGATCAGGTATCTTGGATGGCAAGGCAGTACTGAGATACCAGCTAGATTTATTCTGTACTTTATTCACAATAAAAACACGATAAATGAAAATAGTGGTACATGTGAATAATGAAGACCACCTGTGACTTTGGTCTTTTGTTTTGTATTTGCATTTGCAAGCATTATTAGGTTATAAATATACTGCAGAAAGGACTGTGTTATTTCCTTGTATATTCCCTGCCAAATATGGTTGGCTACTTGCATATCATTATTAAATGCTAATTAAAAAAACTCCATACAACCTATTACAGGACACAGTGATCTATTACGGAAGAGAAACAGTAGGGAAAACAAGAATTCCATTAAGACTGTGAAAAAAGCATTCTTGACAGCTTTCGTCTTTCTTTTGTTTCTCCGCTCTGTGGCTGCAAAGTAACTCCTTTTCTGACATAAGGAAGAATACTGAGAGGGATTTAAATGTTTCTTTTAGTATCACGAGCCATTCTATGTGTTTTGATTTGGAAATAGTTGGTGATACTGAGGGCAGAACTGGAAAACAGCACATGCTCCCTAAGATGCTCTCAGTCTATCGATACACTCAGTGATTCCACGCTAGTTCCCAAAGAAGAGGTAAGATGTTTTAAAAGTTTTTCTGTCCGTTTTATGAAATCAACAGACCTGGTATAATGCTGTACAGTAAAGGTATTCATTAATATGCAGATATTAATACAGAGAGTCCAAAAAAGCATTGTTTGAAAGGCATGTTCTTACTCAATTCCTTTTTCATTTCAGATTTTAGTGCAATTTTACTCTAGAACAGTAAGCTGTGCCCCTGAGCCAATTTTTTTGTTCAGACACAAGTGACAATTCTGCGATGTTAAATATGAAATTTAACATCAATAATATATTATGCAGTTCAGTAACAGTTTACAGTATTGTAGTTGATACTGTAAAATACAAAAGGTACTGTTCATGGCTGTGTTTTTAGATATGGTGAGGAGGGAAGGAACAGTCCTCATGGAGGAGGAAGGGGGATGGGTCAAAATTTTGGAGTTCTGAAGTCATTGATACATACAGTTGATGGAAATCACAAATTTGATTTTATCCATTTCTCATAATGTAAAAAATGAAAAAAAAAAATTAATCAGCTCTGTCACACTTACAGAAATAGCTTTCTTTTAGCACACTGAAATATACAAAATTGTATTTTAACCGAGAATGTAAGATTTCCAGAGCGTCTTTATGAATGAGATGCTTTCTTCCAAAACAGTACATTTACAGCAGTTCTTGATAGTCCTTTTTACTAAAATTTAGGTGGATGTTTTCCTTTCCCTTGGTGGCAAGACGTCTTTGAAAGCCTTGTCTTGTAACTTTTTGCTTCTCCAGTACTTATTTAATTTGTCTGTTTTACTGGTTCTCTAGTAGGACATCTCTTGGCTTGGCCTAACATTCCTTTGGGTTTCTTCACCAGATGTTTAGAAGGTTTATTGGACCTCTGTTGTAGGCAGGAATCTTTCAATCTGGTTTGCTCAACAGCTGGATCTGGGCTCTTCAGGGCTGGAGACTGAAATCATTCCAAAAGATAAATATTTTTCACAATTAAAGACAAAATAGTTTCTTTTAAGAGCTTCTTAGGAATAAACTCAAGTTTTCAAACTGCAAATCATTCAGGTCTTTCTCTAAAGCGGTTTCCAATGCAGACAAAATGATAGTTAATTTTAATTTCCACAACAAAATAACTTTAAGATGGTGAGAACTCTTCTACATATTAACAGAAGAAAGTTAAATCACATTATGTATCTGCAAATATCTTACCCATATCCTGATGTCATTTCAGTAATCAGGTTGCTATCTGTAAATAGTTTATGTGCTATTGGAGAGTGGATCTGACTTAGGTTAAAAAGAAAAAAATAAATTGAATAACGTAGGACTTTAAAGGCTTCCCAGGCGCTGTAACACTCCGTTTTTTAACACAAAGTTTCCTTCTCAAACCTCAGATTTCTAAACAGAAATTAATTTGGAAAAGCCATATAAAATGTTTGTCTTTCATGTGCTTAATTATGAAGATTTTATAACAGCATTCCCATTTGCTGCTTCACCTCTGGAAGAGCTTGCTGCAAGAACTGGGAGGTCGCTGTGGTCGTCCTGTAAAATGGGAGCTCGCTGACTACCTGGACAAAGCAGATGAGCAGGAAATAAATGGCACGAGCCAGACATATCCCACGTTTTAAAGAGAAATACTGATCAGATTATCTACATGCAGACTTCCTAGGAATTAAAAGCAGCCAAAAATAAACCCGAAGGAAATCCTCCGTCTGCTTTTAGTGAAGGATTTCACTATTACAATATTCTGCCAGGAAAGCCAGGAGAGGCAGGCAGTAACGCTAGCAAGTTGGTGGGGAGGCAAGATGAGCTGAAAGCTGATAAAGGGCTGATGATGATTTTGTGCGTTTACCCTCTCAACCCAGAAGCTTCAGTCTCCCAAGGAACACAGCTGAGCAAAACAATGATGTAACTGCATATATGTTGGTACAGTTTGGGTATTTTTATAAAAGAGGGAAGGTGAGGAAGTGTACTGTGCGTTACCCTGTTCAGCTTCAGAAGAAAATTGTCATGGCTTTCTGATTAGGCAGATGTGATTAAAAGGCAGCTAAGAGCTGTTGCAAAAGATAATTTCATGTCATCAAAAGAAATTATCTCAGTGGTGTTATAATATACTCAGATTTTTTTTTTTTAATTTCATGAAGTCATGAACATTTTTGAACTGTAAAACAAAATGTTAGGTATTTATGGTGGAAGCAATTAGCTATGGTGACTGCCTTATAGCAAAACTCCTCTTTTTTCCCCCAAAGTTTCCGTATTACTAAACTGGATACACAAAAACACAATCAAATTTAGACAGTAGAGAAAGGCAGAAAAGGGGGAAAATGTTTTGCTTTTCAGTTAAATGGAAAACGGATGGTTTAGTTGCTACTTTTCTCAAATGGGAATTTATTCAAACAGATGGAGACCTATCACTTAATGATGATAGGTTTGATAGCCAGAATGGATCAAAGAAGGATATCTAATTGTAAGGTGAAGTTTTTTTACTTTTTCTTTTTTCTTTTTATTTTTGCAGGGGCAGCAAACGTCAAACAACCTGGCAAGCTCAAAGCCTCTAGGATACTTGCTGTATCTTAGGGAATGCCAGAGTCTAGGGATAAGGTGATTTTTCCAACTAATTAGGTTGTACTTTAGATCAGGAAATAAAAATAAGAAGAGGAGGAAATAATGTGCATAGTGGTGATTGCTTGCAGTGCTAAGATAAACCAAATGAATAATTGCTTTCATCCATCCAAATTCAATCACCGTTCTCTCTGTTCATAGAGAGTTTCTGGCTTTCCAAAGAAGAAACGAGTTTCTTCCAAACACTTCCTCTGCTTAAGCAGTTTCATCCATTTTGGAGACAACCAAGCAGGAGTGAAAAAGTATCAGTGGCAGTCTGGTCATCAGAGCGGAGTTCAATAGGAACGGCAGATCTGTTTTTAAGTACAGGTGGAGCTAAGTAACCCTTTATTTAGAAGCTCACAACCTGAGTCCAGGTGTTGGGTGAGCTGGGTGCTTAATGGCTATTCTCATGGAATAGGTTCTGCTGACTGCCCAGGGCTTGGCAGGCAGCTGTTCCACCGGGCCCGGGGCTGCGGTTGCTGTTTTTAGAGAATGTGAGCCAAGGAATGGCTACAATATCAAATAGCGAGTGTTTTCTTGGGAAGTCTTGTATGAACAACTATAAGCCAGGCTCTCCCCCTCTATTTATAATAGCAAATGGGTTAGAAAAGAACTGCCTGGTTCTCCTTTAATTGTTTGTTAAATGCTAATGACAAATAAGCCTACACATTTTTTTTTTTCTTTCCTTGGGTCCCTATCCACTTGGTACTTCACTGGTAATAGTGGACTGTTAGAGTGCAACTTGAACCTCTCTCTAAAACTCTCTTAATTCAGAGCATAATTCAGTTGTGAATTTCTTTCTTTAGATTCCAGAAAGTGCTAATGCTATAGAGGTAGATGAAAGCTTTACACTAATTATATCCGAGTCTTGATCCATCAAACTTGTGAAAAGAACTAATTAAAGGCATTATTAATTCCAGGTTTTTAGCTTTTCAGTTGTGATAAAAATTAATGAAGGTTTTATAAATGTTCAGCCAGCCATATGCATTGTGAAGCAGAAGTGCTTGTTGTGTTGACTTTGGTTCTTGTCAGTTTAGTTCCTAGGAATGTCAAGCCTTGCTGAAGCTAGTGTGGTTTCTGCTATTGACTTTGAGACCAAGATATCATTCATTGAATTTTTAGGTATTTCTTTGTTACCTGATACATTTTCATGTTACTGGTCATGCGTAAACTAGAAAAATACTATGCAGCCGATTAGCTGTTAACGGTCTCTAAGAGATGAAAAGCTCCATCTTTTCTGCTATTAATTACTAAGCTCAGGAAAAATATTTTGAGCTGAATTCATCTTTGCCTGCCTTCGATGAATGGAGGTGTTACGCTATCCTGTTTTCCCCATTCCCCATTTTGTATTATTTGATTCCTTGCGTCTGATCAAGCTCATCAGGGAAACAATGAAAGGAAGAGGTTTTTTATTCTGCTCCCTGTGATGAGGTTTCTCTCCTTTTTGTGGAGCACTAGTGGTTTTTCTTAAAATTAAAGCTCTCAAGTAATGGCACTACAACCAACAATAATGTAAAAAAAAAAAAAAAAATTGGGGGGGGTGGGGGTTAAAACCAAATCCCTCTTAATTTCTGCAGCCAGTCTTTTATCCTTGGGATATAACAGCCACTGGTTAAATACAGAACCTGACAGAATACTGAGCGTATTCTTTGTGCCTAACAAATAACTTTACAACAATAATTAATATTCTCATACTGGCTTTTCCTCCTAGAAACTAGGATTCCTTATGTAGCTTTTGGCTCTCATTTGTCCTTCTAAAATTCAAAATGGAGATTGGATTCTTTCCATTTCTTGTTTTCTCTGACTTTAGGGGGAATTTTCCAGCTGTGTAGAGAAGGCAGCTTCTGAGAATAGAAACAGGAACCTCTGTACAGAAACCCTGATACTGAGAAACAAAGCACCGTTTGTGATTTATGGGTTTAATGCTTTTAACACTTAAAACAGTGGAAAATATTCTTCATGTCTTATGTAAGCTCTGTGTTGTGGTCTGGGGGTTTTATTTTCATTGTACTTTCTAAGTGTGTTTAAAAAACGATGGGCTTGGAAGACCAAGTTCTACAGTCACCAGAAAATCTCTTACAGAATATTACTGACTGTTCACGGAGTCTTTGCTAGATATTAATTCATAAGAGCGCTTTTAATCATTTCATTGAATAGCCACTAAAACTGAGGGAAAGTCTTCTGTGAATTGAGGCTTAAAAAAAAAATCTTTGTACCGCACTACTTTGCTTACAGGTACATCCTGTTTAAGTTTAAACTCCGAACGTGTTGCCTGGCTATGTAGCTGGGCAGCTGGCTTGCAGGCTAAGAACGTTTCAAAAAAATGTTTAGGTCCCGGCAAAACAGACCCTCAAAACAATATTCTAGTTCCTCTGGAAATTCTGAATTCCTCACTTTGCATTCTGAATATGTAGTTGAAGAACCAGCAATGTAAATATAGCTGGGTGGGTAGTCTAGTTCCACTATTGCTGTAGTGTACCACAGAAGTATAGAGTCAAATCTATTCAGACTGTTCAGCTTGGAAAAGAGGAGTCTGAGTAGGAATGTGATTGAAGTTTACAGGACCTTGTATTTGTATGTGGTGCCAAGGTGAGTAGGGAACGGTCTTTCACTTTTTTTCCACAACAGAAGTACTGTTTGAATTAAGTTGTCAGGCATTAGCTTTAAAACAAATGGAAAGATGCTTCTTCAGAGACTGGGTATTTAAACTGCGGAATTCATTGCCAAAAGATATTATGGAGGCCAAAAATATCTGTGATTCAGAAAGGAATCATAAAACACTGAATGGAGGATAGATTTATCTTATTTGGGTAGATGCATCCAAAAGGGTTTGGATGCAACTTTTAAATGAAAGAAGTCCCCAGACCAGTTTTTAGAATTTGGGAGGGTTTACAGCATTAAGAATTATTCTCTACGTGCTGTGAATTTTATCCTTTTCCTGTAAGAGAAGGAGGAAAGATTTCTCTCTGTTGTCCCATGTCCTCAGGTCCCATGAGAAAATACGAGGACAAAATAAACTTTTTGAACGTGACTTCAGTATGGAATGCATAAAGGTATTTATATTGTAGATAATGATGATTCTGACGGCTTCTAGATAAACGCTCTGCAGACTGAACTCATTTTCCATAGAAGCATTTACTGCTTCCAGTTAAATACAGATGACCAGTCTTCAGGGAGATAAAACAAGCTTGCCACAGTTTTCAGGAGAATGAGACGGCAGTTCTGTGCTCACTGCTGCGAGGTTAGTGTGAATTTCTTTGTGACATTTCCAGCAGGACAAACAAAAAAGCCAGCTGGAAAATACTGATAAGCAATACATAAAAGATTTTAAAATGCCACACTTTGCAATCCATTCCAACCCTAATTAGCAGAAATCTTTCATCCTCGTGTTTGAAATAATCCCTTCATGCATATACTAGATTTTGCATGCACATTCATACTCTTAAAATTGCTTACACAATGCAGAAAGCACATAACAGTGAATGGCATTCATAAGAAAAACAAAAAGATTTTTCTCCCTCTTTCAGAAATCTTATTGTTAGATTAAAGTCTCCTTCACACGCAATAAGAGCTCCAATATTTTCCTATAGTAGTTCCAAGAAATATATAAAAGAAACACAGTCGGTGCTGAGAGCTATACTTTTAGTCAGCACCATGATAAAGGCAGTAGGAAAGTAATTAAGAATGTGGCTTTCATTTTCTTTTCATTTTTGATCCAAGTAAGTCTGAAAGGTCACTATATATATATGCCACAAACATGGTCTTAGAAATATTAATGTTTAATGTAGCTGATACACATGGAAACAGGAGCATAAACCAGTTTGTGCTTAAAATACTGTAACTATTCATCACTCATTGAAGACTTATTTTAGAACATGAATCTTTGGGTTTAACCGTAACTCAGAATTGAAAGATCTAAAGTCAAATTTGAAAGTCTTCTGTGGTTTTCAATCAGTATAAGTTTTGCTTATGAATCAAAGTATGTTTAAGCTGACTAGATCCAATGGTGCCTTCATCCCAGAAAGCCCTCTATGATTGTATGCACATATAGATACCTAAGCATATTAAACGTGGGTTTCTTAAAGTGCTGACCAAAATACTCTTGCCTTCTATGTGAAGCTGTCTGTCATGAGCTTACTCTCTAGAGTACCTTTGTTAACTTCCCCTTTTCTGTTCCTTGAAGGTGGTATCTCATATAAATCTTAAAGCAGAAGCTTCAGAGCCATCTCTGAAGCGCTTTCCAACTGCTTTTAAAAACAATGCTGTGCAGATCCAAGATGCAGTTGATGCTTTGACTCCCTCAAAGAGTCAGTGACATGAAGGTAAGAAATTTCCTTGCTCAACTTAAGACAGTAAGAAATGAAAAATGGTTGTTTTATTGTCTCTTAGTGTATAAAAACCAGGCATCTCTGTTAAAAAGATTTTTTTCTTTTTTCTTTTTTCCCTTAACTGAATGTACTCATTGAGTTATTTGCTGATAACAGTTACAATTAGCAAACCCTTAAGTAACTAGCGTAATATCTTTGAAGTTTTCATAAATTTACACGGCTTCAGACATGCAAAATAATTTAGCTTAGTGTGTATTGCTTTTTAATGCCGCCATCTTACGACTGCCAAAGTTAAATTTGAGGTTTGAATGGTGGCTTCTTTTCTTTATGTGATATATTGCAGTAAATTTAAATGACCATGAAATCAAGAAACTACAAACACTGACTAAAGGCCAAGGTATTAAGGCTCATCCACCTCCAAGGGTGGATTCTGCATTTCTTCCAAATCAAAATGCTAGAATGATATTCTAATAAAGATATGATGTCTCTGGGAAGCTATCTGTTTGTTGCAAAAGCTGATACAGGAAATCCTTAGACTTGCACTGTGCGAAATGTCAGACTTCAGTGGTCAGTTCTGGCCTTAAACCTAAGAAAAAAATGGAAATTTTAATTACATTTAAGCTTTGTCTGTGTAGTTCTGCCATTATACCTTTAGGTTCATTTAGTCAGTAGATCTTTATCACTGGTGGAAACTTACAGTTTGGTGCCAAATCTGGCATCTGTGCAAGCAGCTTAGAGAGCACGACACAGCGTGAGAATGAGAGAGAGGACGAGTAAGGAGTAAGAGAAAATTGGTTAGCATGAAGCAGTGCATCTGGCTAAGCAAAGTTCTTCTGTGCTCAACACCAGGACAGGATAGAGGAAGGATGTGGGGGGCAGGAGGAGATGGTGAGATACTTTTGCAGATGTTGAGCAGAAGTTCCTTTCAAACATGAGATAAAACATGAAATGGCTTTTATGGCGTAGGCTATACGTGCTGTGTCAGACAGGTGTTTTGTAAACACTTAATTTGTTTCAAAAATACCCTTCATAACCAAGGCAAAGGAGCAACACTTTCTCATTGCTGCAACAGCCTGCTTTTGGGTCTATAAAAGCACTGGACTGGAAGACAAGAGGTATGAGGTACCGTCTCAGCAGTGCTTTTGCCGTAGTAGGTTACTGAAAAATCTACTTGTTTTATGCTTTGGCTGATAACTGTTTTGTAAAGCAGAGTAAAAATCATCTACTTAAGCTTTTAAGTGCAAAATTGTTTCATCGCTGCTACTGCATAGATAACTGAATGAATTATGCATTTTAAACCATATTCTCAATAAATGCTCGCAGATTGTATTACTGTTATTTTTGGTTAAATAGTAGCATGTGTATTGGCTGATTTGTTATTATGTTTCACAATTCTCCCAGAAGTCTTCAATTTTCTGAGCTAGGACCTATTAAATACATTTTGCAAAATCCTTCAAGCATGAATAATTATATGCATTTTTTTAATCTCTTCATCTCTAGGTTTGTGATCCGACTGCTGGGAAAGAAGAAAAAAAAAAAGGCAAAAAACCCTCAGGTTGACTCAACATATACGGCTGTTTTTTTTTTTTTTAAAATTCACTTTTTTTACAATAGAGAACAGCACTACAAAACATAGGCAAAAAATACTTGCTTTGGAGCACGTTCGGGGTGTGAGGTTACATCTTTTGCTTAAGGTAAGTCCCCTTAGATGCTGTATAGGTAAGCCAGTCTAGAGAGCCACTTCTGACTTTACCAGAAGTTTAATCTCTCCCCAATCAATACGGTTAAATGGTTTTTCCATACAAAATTAGACTTAAGGGCATAAAATAGAAATACGTTGCTCAGGTTTGTGCCTTTTACAGAAACTAAACACTGGTAGTTACTGGTTTTCTTGATAAACGTGAGTATGTTGATATGTCTGTAGTTTAATCTGAGGACGGACAAGTGTTGCCCTGATGCAGAGTTGAGACATGTTCAGGACATGCAGTGGACTTGCAGCCTGGAAGTATTTTGAGGTCTAATAACTAGGACCTGGCCTTAGCATCTTGACAGGAAGATCATTGGTCATCTTAGCATCTTAAACCAGGATGCGTAAGCATTTGCTGATAATAGCCACTAAGAAAACGGTAACGATGTCTGAAGATGACATCAACTAGATATGAATGCCCACCACACCATAAGCGATTATAACTTGTAAGGAAGTCTGTTCCATGAAAAGGTAAATACTTTACTCCTGTTCTACCATGACAACATAGCTGGGTATAAGGAGGACCAAAGACTGCATATGAACAAAAATTTCATGAATACATACATTAAAAATAACAAGTTAAAAGGATAGAGAAGGAATATGAATTACACCATCCTGCAACTGTCTTCGTTGCTTCACTTTTTCTTTATGAAATCTTGTTTAAAGAAAAGTTTAGTGCAGTATTTAGTCTCAGCAGACTTTAACTGGTAGAATTAATAAATTGATCAAACCCCTTAATAAAACGTTTATTAAATGTTAAATGTTTTCCACACTTTTGTTATCCAACATTGTTGTTGCTAAGAGTTAGCAGCTACCTCATTCCTTTTTTGTAAGAGTTCTCAGGTGACTCAGGTTTCATGAAGTAAATAAAACACTGTGTGGTGTAAGTCTGCATCTCACTTGCCAATGTATCAGATGTCTGTGTCTAAATCTGAACAACTTAAAAAATGGCTAGATGTAGAATTTCACTATTATTGGATTAAATCTGGAAATTCTTAGCCATTTTCTAGGCCAATGGAAACTTACCTGATCACAAAACAGTATTAAGAACCACAGAGGAGGGTGTTTTTATTCTTTAGCTTATTACCTCACACTTTTTTTTTAACGGGTGGTAAAGTTAAACTTCTGTTTTGGGCCATGTGGCCATGTTTCATAAATGGCTACAACAGTACTGTACTGTATATGGAAGGTATAAAGACTATAGTTTTGAAGCCCATTGTTATAAAAATGAGAATCTGTTTTTTGCTTTTCCAAACAAGTGGAGGAGTTGCTATGGAGGCTTGTGCATGTTTGGCAGGCACAAACATAATCTGGTGTGGCAAATCTTTGACTTCAGAATCTGATTTGACATTATATACTTCACGTCTGATGGTAGTGTGAAAATGGTGGTGACATTAAAACATTCAGTACACAAACATTTTGTCCATATGTTAAGATGAGTTACTTATTCCACGCTATTACAAGCAAAGTTGCGGTTGAAGCTGCCTGAAAGTGGTGTATTTAAGAAGAGCGTTGCTTTGGTTTGAGTCAAGGCCAGGAGTGTGTGTCTAGTACTAAAAAAGGGTAGGTCCAAATTTTCTCTGAAGGTCTTCACTTGCCCCTGTAAATATCACCTATTAATAGGTAGTAAAAAACACAACACAGTGAGGTAAAATGAACACCAGTATGGAGAATCTAGATAAAATACGTTGTTCAAATGTCATGGTAATGTGCTGTGAAAAAAAAACCCCTCAAATCATAAAATCACGGGTGTGTGAGAATGTTCCAATAAATCATTGTCTTGCACTGTTGGATTAGACACACAAGGTCAGGTCTGTCTATTGTAATATGCTGTGGTATTGAAATTTATGAATGTGCTTAAAACTTGAAAATAGCAAGCTGTAGCTTCAGATGCATCTTTGTTAGAAATGACAACAAACAAGGGACTAGAGATGCAGGAAATATTCCAGAACTATTAATCTCTATTCCTGTTCTGGTCTAATAGCTCCTCTCTGTCTTTTCTTATACTGGAACCCAACTTTGAAAAATTCTGTTATGCCCATAGTACGCCCTTCATTACGCCTGTAGGTATGTACATTGTTTCGACTGAACATTCATCTTGGTTTTCAGTCATCCTTTTAAAGGGAGAATACATATATTGTCCTTGATTTCCTAAATTTGTATGAAGGTTTGAAAGCCTGATATAAAATAGTCTTTTGGGCTGGATTCTTGAGTGTTTTAAGTACAGGCTCAGGTGTGGCTGGAGGAAGGAGGTAAGGCAGAGGGTGGGTTTCATATCCATCCTGAAACTGAGCGTGAGCCAAAAATAACTCCTTGGCTGAGGAAGTTGTGTAGTGTATACTCAAGCTGCTAAGTGTCGGTATCTTTTATAGTAGTAAGGAATAAGGGAACCTATTAGGCTTGTCACCTCTACTTTCTGACAGTGTCAGTGTTGCTTTGTTCATGCGTGTATAGTACTTGATTTTATTTGGCTTTCCATAATAGCTGTGTGATTGGTACGGTTGCTGTGCAATGTACTGTAACTGATTGGAAATTAGAGCATTTAAACCATGTCTTCTTTCCATCCCAGCAGCAGTTGTTCTCTTTGGCTTTGTTTTCCATCTCTGATTTTTTTTTAACTGTTTCTTTACAGCATTGTATGTAGTTTCTGTTAGCAGAAATATATGAAAGTATGCCCTCAATACATTAAAATACAAAGGTAAAAGCTATATTTATCAGGAAGGCTTTGTGATCTGAGTCTGTGAACTCATAGAAATTTACAGTGTCCGTCATGCAAGCCAAATGGATTACTGTTGGTTGCCAGATTCAAAGCCCATGTTTATACTCACAAAAGATTGGCTCACACACACTCTGTTTCTTGCTACAGGAAGGGTATGTGTATAGATACGTCTTATACCACTGGAAGATCAGGCTGGGTTCCTGAGTGAGTCTTCAGCAAATTCAGTTGGTTTTCTCTTGTCAGAGCAGAGGAGGTTGAGGATCGCAATGCTGGTTATCTTCCCACGTACTGGAAATTGCAATCTCTTCTTCCTTGACCTTGAGTAAACGGCAAGTGACATCACTGTAATTGGTGGTAACTGCTGAACAGATGCTACTGTGTTCGAGTTGTACCAAACGAGCTTCTCATTACTGAGCTGAGACGAGCATCAATAGCCAGTGGCTTCTTCCTGCTCCCTCCCTTCTCTCTTTTTTTTTTTTTTTTTAAAAAAAAGATAAATGGTGTGTATAGCAGGACTGACAGAAGCCACCTGCAGGGTTCAGGGCCATTTGCATTGTCTGCCCAGGCAGTAGTGGTTCTGCAGTAATGAAGAGCAGGCAGTAGGAAGGTTGGCAGAAAGAGCGGATCTGGTTAATTGTAGAGACAGTTAACATGTCATGAACACTCCCTAGTAGGATTTTGCAAACATTAACCTTCAACCATTTTCATTAGAAAAGGGGTATTGTTATTCCTATTTTGCACACGCTTAGTCATAAAAAAGCTTATTGGTTTGCCCATGCTCAACCTCAAAGTGTCCCCTGTGCCTAGTTTGCTGTTAGTGAATAGAGCAGATCTGGCCAAAGCACGGTATATAGACGTTCCAAGGTGTCTCACAGGCCTATTTGGGGAAGCATACATGACAGGGAACGAGGGCATGAGAAGCCATGTGAGGCACAGGAGAAGTGAGCGAGGGACTTCTTCCTTCCAGTATTGCTGTGCAGCATTGCCAGCTTTGTTTTCTGCACATGCCAGGCACAACTTGTAGATGGCTCGGAGAATACGCCTAGCAGCTGCATCTGAGATCACTGAGCACAAGTTTTCAAGAGTGCTGCAAAAGCATGAAGCATGGACTTGAGTTGCACTAGCAGGTTCTGCCTCTAAGTCTCTGTGGTACTGCAAGTGCCTTTCTGACACAGGTGCTGGTCACCCAGGTCAGAACCTGGAAGTTCTGGGGGTTATTACAGGTTCTGGTTGTTAAGATTTGCTGATGTGTGGGGGTCATGGGGACTGGCCAGGCTTCAGAGACAGAGTTAGGGGACTGGCAGGTGGGAAGGGGAAAAGGTATAAACATGGTGTTGGCCAGAGATGGAGGTAATAGGAAAGAAGGGGTGGAGATGGCTCTGAAATGTTGATAGTATGTTTTGAAAGTGTTGAGCACCAGCTGAAAGTAAGTCCTTCCCGTGCTTCCCATGCTGATTTCAGTGATCTCTTGTCTCCAGTCCTGCCTGCTATTCTATGACCCAAGGATCATCATTTCCTAACAGTTACATGGGCACTATGTAAAACCGCGAATAAATGCTGTGATCGTACTGAGGCTGCAACCACTGATGACAGAATTGTGCCATCTGGAGAAAATTCCTGTACATTGCATAGCTTTGAGAGACTGGATGGAGCAGGTCAAAGTCAAGGGCGTTACAAAAGCATTTATCTCCCTCCTTCTCCACCCGTGGAAGAGAATAAATCCGTTCTGGGATAAAGGAAGTAAAGAATCCACCTTGTATCAAAGTCTATGCAGGGGGAGGAAAAAATAAATAATTTGTTTTGAAAATCAAAAGGGAAAAGAGCGCGCACTCAAACATCACGTTAAAAAATGAAGGCACAGAACTACCATTGTATACTATTAGAAGCCTTGAACTCTTCAGAAGAGGCTGTTCCTGTAGTCTTGCAAATGCAAGGTACAAGAAGGAACGTTGTGTGCATTTCTACTACATAAAGCTGTATGCCCTTATATCCCACTTGCACAGCTATCAAATGGTAAATCTGTAAGTGGGAAAAGTGGTGTTTCTGATGGACATACTGACTTAGGCTTATACAGAACAAAGATTAAAAGAATAGAATTATGTAATTTGGGATGGGCCTCTGAAAGACACCTGGCCAACTCCGCCATTCAAAGCAGGGCCAGCTTAGATCAGGGTGCTCAGTGACTCGGCAAGTAGTTTTGAATGTCTCCAGGGATGGAAATTTCACACGTGTGGTTGCCCAGAGAGTTTAACTTTGCATTTTACCAGTATTCGTTTTTGGAGTAGAAAATATTGATTGCCAAGTACCTGCGTAGCCAGTGATGACTGCTGTGGTGACTGCTCTGACCTACTGCTTTTTACGTTCTGTGACGAGGGCTAATGGACTAAAAGCACACCATCGTATTAGCAGAAACTTAGACATCCACCAGGCAGGAATCAGTTAATGCTTTCGGTATTTGTGATGTAATTTCTACAGTTTGGGGGCAGTTTTCCAGCCCTCTTAAAAATTAGTGACCGCTGTATAGGGACAGTTGATTTTCAGTAGGAAAAGAATCCTCTTCTAGCACACCAAATTGTCAAAGTTATTCTAGATAAATGAGGGACCACATGCTGCAAAGAACCAGGTGATCCACAGGAGCTTAGATTAAAGCTTTCCTGACACATTCCAAGCACTGTCAAAAGCTTCTGTTGATTTATGTTTTCATACTTTAATGCGACAATGGCGCTTATAAATCTTCTTTACGTTTCCTGTTGCTGTTGGAATGTGTGTTGCAATTTAGCTTGCTGCCTATTTTCTGTTAAGGTGGTGAGGCCCTGTCAAGGCTTGGGAGAGAATTCTCTCTTTCTCTGGAGCAGTCCCTCAGTTACTGTGGAAAACAAGGTGATAAAGCAACCAGCGAAATGGAAACCTTACAAGCTGAAATGAATCAAGCCTTGGAAAACCTTTGGAGCTTAAGAAAGGAAAGGAGCGAGAAGAAAGCAGAATCCGTTCCCCATTTTGTACAGCCTGAAGGAGGAAGTGTAGAAGGAGCACCAATAAAAGGCATGGATAAAATTTCAAAAGATAAGCCAAAGGCAGGGCCGCTATTCATACTGCTCTGCTCAGACAGATCCCTTCATCCAAATCTATTTCTATGGGCAGCTGAAACCTCTCTCTTCAACTTCCAAGCTGCAGAGGAAGCACTCTGAGGAGCTGGGCAGTCAGCACAAGGATGAGAGCCCCCACAGGTGTAAAAGCGTTAAGACCATTACAAGGCCACCATTACAAGATCAGTCAGTGTTTAACACTATTCCCCTCATATATGTTCTAGACTAATTTACAGCATTTTACAAGAAGCATTAGGGCCCAATCCCTCCAGGTGCTGAGAAAATCTTGAGTACCCTCCCAGAGGGGTTCACGGTCCTCAGCACCTTCACGATAGCATTGAGATCTTGGACTGAGTGTGATTCCAAGTTCACTTGTGTCCGTGACTCCAACTGAAGTCCTTGGTCTTTGGATCACTTTGGATCGTATTCTCTGTGCTTATGCCAACTTGGCATAAAATCAGAGATAGTGACAACAAGCTAGTGTACAATCAAAATGAGATTTTGAGAAAATTATTACTTTTGGAAGACCATGGAACATTGTCACACAGGGATAGCAGTGTTTCTTCGTAGATGCATTTTCTTTCTTTTAATGAAGGTTATTCCAGAAAGTCTTTAGCAAACCGCAACACTGAGTTTGTTTCTTAACACAATGTGCATATGGCTCTCCTGTGGATCATTATGTAACTGATGTTTATAAATTTTTCTTTGACTTGACAGCTCTGCTGAAGGAAAATCTCTTTAGACTTCCATGCTCATTTGAATGATGAAATACTTGAATGCTCAGAATCACTAGTACACAGAATAAAAAAAGAGTTGCATTTAAAATTTTTACTGAAAACAAATAGTTTAAAATGTCCTGAGCTATTCGGAGTGACACAATAAATAAATCAGAATTGAGTGAGCAGTGTTTTTTTCAATATATTTAAAACCTGACTTATCTTTATTTCCCCGTCACTTTTTGGTTAAAATTGTAAAGGTTACAACATTGTACTTTCTATATTTTCCTGTCTTTCTATAAAATAATATGTTTTCAAATAAAAGATTGAATATGTCATTATCACTTGGAAAGACTGTTCTTTTCTTGTCTGATCACACAGTAAACTAGAAGGTGCCTTTGGAATACATGTCTCTTCTAGATGCCTGGAGGCTGAACTGCCTGAACGCAGACATACAGTGGAAGAAATACATTTGCTTTTGCTGTGTTCTGCCAAAAGCAAATGTCATTTAGTGATTACACTAACCACTTGGAGACGAGCTGTGAAGTTCAAATGTGATTAATTGGATGATATGCAAGTGCCCTTCTTTTGACTGTCCTTTAGGTGTCAGTCATTCCAGAATAGCAAGAATGAAGACAGAACATGAGCTTACGAGATATGTTTCCTATTCTGTTGTTTAGTTCTCTTATAGACTAGCAAGTATCTACACTGTCCGTGTAGAATGTTGAGAGTCAGCGAGTAACCCCCTTACTGGTTTGTAAAGGTGAAATTGAAGCCTTTTGTGTTTTGTCTTTTCCTCTTCTTAAATTAGTCGGTACAAGGGATGAACTTAGAAGAACTACTAGGGTGACTGATATAGTCATTGCTTCTGCATTCGGATTTCACTAAGTAAAGAGTCTGTACAGGAAATGCATGTGGATGGAATGCTTGTGGAAGGGATGGGAAAACTCATTAGACCCTTCAAATTCAGCTAGGCCTGCTAATTGTCAAATTTGGCGAAAATGGGCTTGAACCTGTGACTTCTGCCCCCTTTCAAGATTTAGAACAGTATTTTTGTCGGATGAAATACCTCTTACCATCTGCACAGACTTGTATGAAGCCTGGTGCCACAGGCTGTATCTTTGCCATGTTTGCTGTCTTACAGTCGAGGTCAAAGGTGGATGCTTTTCTGAAAGTGCTTATTTATACAGATTACTTGCCACAGAACGATCCTGGTCACTTCAGTGAGGGCCCTACAAATTTATGAAATTGAACTCATTTTGTTGCTTAATAAAAATATCGGATCCTGACGTAAGGACAAAATAGGGAATCACGTGTGTTAGATAGTTATTGAAGGCTTTGCAGGATCAGAATGACTTCATTGTCCTTTATTTACATTGGGAATTTTGTTCTCTTCATTTAAAAAGTCTAGGTACTACCTTTTTAAAATAAAGCAAATGCTGACAATTAGAGGAAAAAAAAGCTGATTCTGGATAGGAAGAAGGGGAATGTGCTCACCAAGAGCCTAATTAAAAAACAAAAAAACCCTGTCCTGCTCACAATTCTGTGTTCAACTGCAAATTTAATTATTGTAATTTTCCAGTCAAGGTAGATGAGAACTGTTCCTTTAAATCGTAACAGACTGCAAGTTGTTCAATACCTCATCTGAATGTACAGCCACAACACACAGATTAAACAGGCATTTTCAAAGATATTTTTTGAAGGATGCAAACCTTTATTTTTTTTCTCTTCTTCTGTGCACAGACTTACCTGATGTGGCAATAGTAGGAAAGCAGAAGCATTTTCTCTGTCCTGTCTTCATTTCTGAAGGAGGGGGGGAAAAAAAAAGGGAAAAAGAAAAACAGGGTTTGGGAAAGGTGCGAATGGAAGAGATTACTGTGCTCAAGATAAATCAAATGGTTTCTGTACAGGATAAAATGATCTGTCCTGCAAGCTGCCTAAGTATAGCAAAGCCTTTTTAGCCCTTGTTTCACTTTCATGACTGATGAATTATCTACCTCACATGAAAAGTATTCAGAAGCCTTCATCAAACTCTGTACAGGCAGGATAGAGACAGTGAAGAAGCAGGTACAATTCTTCCCTTTTTAGATTATTTCTCAGCTTTAAGCAGCCTTTGAACACTGAGATTTACCAAATAGTATGTGAGGAAGGCGATGGGGTTAAAGGGGTGGGCAGGGAGGAAGGGAACAGCAGTTCCTGAGATGCTTCCCTTTATGATGAGAGCAGCTTCCTTTTCCCAATTGCAATTTTAGTCATTAGATTAAATTTAATAAAGCCTTGACAGTATATGTGGAAAAATGAGGATTACATCAGTACTTTTGGGCGCAAGAAGCAAGAATGCTAGCCAGTTCTCTCCAGGAGGGAGAGAAATTTCTTGCCTTTCTTCTTTTGGAAGGGAAAAAATAATCTCATAGTGGGATGAGAAAGAAAGATTCTGGGAGTGCAAAGCACTACTGCACTTCAAGATTACAGGTAAATTAGCAGTGTTTCATCAGTACAGCAGTAGCAGATCCAGACACTCAATAAAGGAGTAGCAATAAAGGAAGATTTTGGAACAGCTTTAGGAACAGCTTGCTGTTGAACAGGGATCACTTGTCCCCACGCACTTCACTTGCATAGCTGTTCTGCAGCAGGGGGTTACTTCACTGGCAGAAGTTTTTTAAAGCCGCCAATTAATAATTTGACTTTTACAATAGCCAAACTCCATTTAATTTAATTAACTCATGCAAAAGAGGGAATACCAACCACAAAATGAAACAAAGGGAAAAAAGGCCATATTCCTCTGGCTTGATTTCATCACAGAATTCCTTGTATTTTCTGCTTTGGAAGGTGGGAACTGCAGCAGCAAGGTGAATGTTGGCAACGGTGAGAATATGGTTTGTCACTGATCTGTTTTTAAGGTGATTTTGGCCTTAGTCACGAGCAGATGTAGGACTGAGATTCATTAGGATATTTGAAGTCAATTTTCCTGTCAGTTCAGAGGGGGGAAATGTAATCACTGTGCCAGCAGCTCTCACTTAATTTCTAAAAAGATTTGATCCCCTAAATTCTGTTGGTTAGCTGTGAATAATTTATGATGCTCGTTTATTCTGTGCTTTCTCATGTAAATAGCCATCCGCCTACTGTTTCCTCTGAATTGCATTTTAACTAGGTTACTCTTGTGCTTTCTAATTTATTGAACTAGCATGGAATAAATTTATATAAAATTAGTCATTCAACTACTTCCTTGATGAAAAACATAGCTGCTGTAATTTTGTTAGGAGTTTTAATCAGAGAAAAAAAGAATGACCTTTTTAAAGGCTGTAGAGCTAGTTTTATTCATTGGTGTATTTGTAAGATTACAAATCATTTTGATTTAATTAAGCCCTATATCGGAAACGTGTTTGATAACTATTTTATAAAACTTTAAAAGCACAATTAATAAATTAATTTTCAAAACATACAAATGGTTTTATTTGAAAGAACTCCGTTGCAAAGCTTAGCATCCATGTGACAGGAAAACAAACGGGATTTTCCTTTTGAATCATACATTTTCTTTGAAGTCACTCCAGAAATGATATTCCCTTGTCAGTCATGTTAACAGTCTGATACAAGGCTTCTTATGGAAAAGAATGGAAATTCATTGTAATTACTCACATTCTAACAATCTCCTCTCTAGGGTACCTACAATCTCGTCTCATGAAGATTGCTCTTATCAAGGAGCAATATGAATTTCAAGAAATGAAAGAATGAATTTCAAGGTGAACTACTGTATTGTTAACCCCTTTACTGTTCCTAACGCTTGAAAGACTATTCTCAGGTCACAGTACCTGTAGCTGAGGTGAAATGGCAAAAAGGAAAGACTTTGTTCCAAGTTTTTTGCAGTCTCGTATTCTCCCAGTGCAGTTAGGAGCCTGTCTCAATGGTTCATAGTATTTAGTTAGTTAAGAGGTTACATTTTGCAACTGTTTTCTCGTCATGCATCCCAAATTCCTCCTTGTGTCTGAACAGCAGATACTATCTGTCTACAAAGTTTTCCGCCTAGTCGTTATAAACTCTAAGTATGGCATCCTGTAAAAACAAATAAGTATGACCAACCAACTTCTCCCAAGCCAAATGAACAGACCACAGAAAGTTTTGGAGAAGAGATCCTTTCTTTGTAAGTCACCAATGCTTCAACAGATTCAATTTAAATTTTACAATCAGTAATCTTCAGTCAGAGGCCCAGCATGGAAAATTTCATTCCTGAGGGATGATGTCGGAGAGTTATGATAGTGTGAAAATAATTGGGTGAAGTGTAAATGGAAATAACTTTAATTACAGTGTTCACTACCAGCACCTGCTGTAAAGAATCATAACCCTTCTGGTCAAAACTGTTCATGAGAGATGGACTAGTGTGTTTCCAAAATAGGGTATTTCGTTCTTGTAGCCAGTCGTAATAATTAACAATGATGCTGATGAAACTGACAAGTGAATGAGTAACATCTGTCAAGGAACTTTAGCAACATCAGGGGAAAAAAAAATCACCCCTCCCTCCTTCTGCTTCCACTCTCCATTTTTGGCAAGTCTTCCCCAAGTCTCGTCTGTCTTGCAGTTTGCTTAGGCTGGAAGGCAGTAAGTCTCTGAAATGCAAACGTTAGCACTTCAAAGGGCTCTACCTGCTGTAGAGCACTAGCAGTGCACTTTGCTCTGAGTTGCTAGTGCAACTTATAGACAACGTCCAAATGGCTAATCACAATGTAATTTCCTTAGTAACAAATGAAGAAAGAAATCCAGAAAAAGTGATAAAGGAATAAACCAATCTTCTCTGTATCATTTTCCACAGGAAGAAATGATGAGACCACTCAAAAACCTTGTTCAAAAAAATACAAAGGGGAAGAGCTGTTCATTCAGGTACACAACTGCCATCTTTCTTACTAGTGCCTATGAAACTGATAGAATATATACTTTTAGGAAGAGATGGATTTCCAGAGCTAGTAGATGGAGCCGTTTCATGGCTTCGTAGAGTTATAGATAGTATTCAGTTGTTTAGCTGGTTGTGTTTTACATTTTTTACAAAAATGTCTACATGTGAAAGAATGAAAGGGACTGTTCAAATTAAGACCAATCTAAAACACTGTTGTCCCCTATCCACGGCTATGCTAACACATCTAATAGACAACAACAACAGTTGTTTCTTTCAGTGTCCCCCTATTTATCTAGCTATTGGGACCCTTTTCTTAGCACAGCAATTCGGCCTTTGAAAGCACTAGCCCTAGGGTGAAAAACTGAAAGGCCAGTGGCTCTT